GCAAATCATAATTCCCACGAAAATAGGACTGCATGGTTAGAGGCCAAGCATCAATTTGACACATGGGCAGCTGCCCAAGAGGCCATACACCAATCACATACTGACCTGTAATTTCATAAATTCGGCAATAAGCCGGGCAAATTGTTAGCAAGATTATGTAAAAAGCCATTTACACCTGCTCTTCTTACGTCTGAGAGACGCACAGGGAGCACTAAAAAGCGATCCTCTAGACACTATATCCGTTTTAGAAAACTTCTTCCAAACTCTCTATGCCCCGGACCCTATAGACATATCTAAAGCTACCTCTTTCTTGGACCAGGTCACATTGCCACGGTTAGACCCCACCTCACTTCAAGCCTTAAATGCTCCCATTACTCTGACGGATGTATCTCTAGCTTTTAAATCCCTAGCAAACGGTAAAGCCCTGGGCCCCGATCGCTATACAGCCGAATTTTACAAGTTAATGGCTGAAATCCTTTCCCCTACATTACAATCGGTGTTCCAGACCATTCTGACGGGAGGAGACTACCTTCCCTCCGGTTCCCAAGCCCACATTAAATTGATTGCCAATAAAGAGAAAGATCCGTTAGAACCTGGCTTGTATCGTCCTATATCCCTGCTGAATCTTGATGCAAAACTCTTGTCAAAAATTATCACCTCTTGCCTAGCAACTATGTTACCCACTCTTATTCATCCTTCCCAAGCGGGTTTTGTGCAAGGACGCTCAGCAGCCTCGAATATTCAGAAGGTGATATCCGCTTTGAGTCAAGCCTCAAACGACACACTCCTAGATGCAGCAATAATCTCATTAGACGCCAAAAAGGCTTTTGATAATGTTAGTTTTGAATGGCTTTTCTTAGCGTTAAGAAAGTTTGGGTTTGAAGGCCCGTTTATGCTTCTAATCCAAACCATGTACTCCTCTCCAACAGCCCGGGTTGTAGCAGCGGGTCACATATCTAACCCTATTCCTCTCCACAAAGGCACTAGACAGGGGTGCCCTCTATCCCCGTTACTTTTCAACTTGGCCCTAGAGCCGTTAGCACGCTTCCTACTATTTCAATCTGATCTCCATGGCATCAAAATCGAGCAAGAAAAGCTGAGACTCGCCTTGTTTGCAGATGATATTTTAATTTTCACCTCGCACCCTTCCCTCGACTTACCCTATATCCAACATATTTTCTCCTCTTTTTGCCTTTGCTCCAGACTCCGCATTAATTTTTCCAATAGTGACATGCTTCCACTATTCCACTCCTGCCTCCCGGTATGGACCCAAAATTCGACATTCAAAATCGCTCCCAAACATATCACCTACTTAGGTATAAAGATAGGGAAGCTAGCTTCATCCTTATAAAAGTTAAATTATACGCCAACGATTGCCAAAGTTTTTGGGGAACTGGATATGTGGAAGGACTTACCGCTTTCCCTCCTGGGCAGATCGCACCTTTTTAAGATGGTCAGCTTTCCAAAACTTCTCTGCCAGCTCCAAACCATACCTCTCCTGCTTAAACACAGCGCCATAACGAGGCTAAATATGGCAATATTTACTTTTTTATGGAAAGGCAAACGTCCCCACATAGCACTTGATAAATTATTCCTACCAAAATGCGAGGGAGGCTTCGGTCTCCCGAATATTTGCATCTATAATCTGTCCTGTTTACTTCGGATAGGCCTAGACTGGCTCACCCAATCCTCTAATTACTCTAATTATCATTTGGAATCTGCACTAGCATACCCTTTTGATCTCTTGGCCCTATTTGTAAGAGACTCAGGTGGTAGCTCTATAGGTCCACAGTTTGGGGTTCCCTAGGGCGCGGAGTCTAAGCCCCAGACTGCTTGTTCGCCAGAGCCCCTGATGGTGGGGATGGACTTGGAGCAGGCTGAGACCAGGTCGCGGCCCCTAGGTACGCCCAGCTGCGGTAGAGGGATCCGCTAGAGTCACGTATCTTAGTGGTGAGCCTGATGTGAAGAGGCAGAGCGGACCTGAGCAGGGAACGGATGGGTCCGTGCGGGATGGATGGATGCGGATGCACTAGCGGAGGCTAGTAGCGGAGTCAGGCAGGCCGGGTTTGGTATCTGAGAAGGCAGAGCAGAACAGAACAGCAGGCGGAAGGATAGTCGGGTCACAAACCAGGTTCAGCAATGGGAGGTACAACAATCAGGAGCAGGCAGAAGAATATCCAGAGACAAGCCAAGGGTCAGGGTAGGAGAAGGTCAACGGTTGTCAGGAGCAGGGTTGGGTTCGGCAACAGGAAGCAACACAGAGTTCAGGAATCTCAGGCAGGAAATTAGACCATATGGCAATTTGGATCCTGCAGTGGCCCGTTTAAATAGCCCACCCAACGCTGACAGGCGTGTCTGGGTCCTAGTGCCTGCCCGATGCCGCCATTGATGACAGGCGCGCCTGGGTCCTAGTGCCCGCCTGCCTGTATGCCTTCTCGGGACCCTGCGCATGTGCAGATTCGTGCGCCGCGGCGATCTTCCCTGGCACTATTACACTCCAATGTTAACTCTTTGCCACCCCACTTAAAACATAACCCACTCATTCGCGACACCCTTATCACATGGAGGGAAGTCAGGCGTAAATTGGGGGTCTCCCCGTGGCTTTCACGCTTTCTTCCTATTCATCATAACCCCTCTTTTCCTCCTCCTCAATCTCACGATGCATATGATACCTGGTGAGTTCAACACCTAACTCTGGTACAACAACTATATGACATCTCTATGGGTTCCCCAAGATCTCTTAACAGTATCCTACTGTAATATTAATTTTTAATATCTAAATTTTAATTCGGTCTCTAGTAAGTTCTGAAATATGCCTGGCAGAGAATATACCCTCTTAATTGGATGTGAATGCGAGGTTTTGAAATTGAGTAGTAACAGATGTGAATTATTTGTGTCTGGGTTAGGTAATTAGGAAAGGTTTAAATGTATGTTTTCTTTAAGATTAGCTATGCAATGTATACCTTATTTTGATTTCATATAATGAGTCTGAGAGTTTAAATTGTATTCATAAATCATGTATTCAGACAGCTGTATATGTAACATAAGAACTTCAGAGTTCCCTTCTAGAGTGTTCATGTCATTCATGTTAATTGGCCTAACTGACTGAACAGAAACACATGTGTTGCTACACTGGGAGGTGACTAGGGGAGTGGTTAATGAGCCCGCAAATTTGAAACAAAGGATAAAGGGAGGACTTAGTTCCTTGTGCATTTTAAGTATGTAAGCCCATTCAAGCAACAGGCTCACTTGCTCACTTTTTCTCTTCACTTCACTTCATTCAGACATACATACACTTCAGACACTTACACAAAGGAGCACATGGCATGCTAAGCTTGAACAAAGGAAAGCACATGGCCATTTCTTAGAGCACATGGTTCTAGGCCAAGCTCCTTTCTAAGCTACACAAAGGAACTACATTTTTCTTCTTATATCCAAGGGACAAACAACTTATATTCTTTATTTTTATTTCATTTTAAGCTACATATCTTTTTGTATCTGAATTTACTGTTTTTATATTGACTTTGTATCTTTTGGTATGTGATCAAATAAAATCACACTGCTTTTTCCTAACTGGCTCAGAAAAGGATTTCTTCCCGCAACCACCTACAAGTACAGGAATACTAATAGAGTTTTTTCACAACTCTTAAATTCTAACACCTACAAACCTATGGACTTCCGACACACCATTTCTTTTACATGCTCCAAGTAAGGAACTTTGTCAACCCCGTGGCACCCACTAAATCTACCAGATTTCAATCGACATTTATTGAAGTCTTGGTGAACTCTTGAAAATACAATATCTCGAACATATGTAGACAGCTGAACCTTTTATTTGCCAAACCTTTCGAGACATTCAATGCTCTAAAATCCTGGGTCAAAGATTTCAACAATGCACTCACAGCTGACCAATTATTATCAGGCTTCCAATCCACTTGTGCCTTCAATATCAATGAATTCTGGCGTGAACAACAGCTTAAGAGTCTTCACTGTGCCTATATGCCTGTCTCTACTCCAAAAAAGATCCGGCTATGTCTACCTGCCCTCTGTGTGGAATTCAAAATCCATCATTACAACACAGATTCTGTATCTGTCCTGCTATCTCTACATTCTGGAAGCAAGTGGTTCATTTCATATCCGTCATCACTGCTTTCTGATTACCCATCCACCCACTACCATTACTTTTCAGATTTCTGGAACTTCCAATCATTGGTCTCTTCTCTTCACAAACGTCATCCTTCAGAGATAACAAATCTTGGATATCAACATGCCTCCTAATTGCAAGATGGGTCATTCTCCGCAAATGGGTCGCCAACTGTCCTCCAACTATGACTGACACCAAACAGGAACTCAACTCTCTCCTACGTTTGGACAGGCTTCATCTAATCACCTCACCGACTACTTCAAAGGAATCCCATTATTTTAGAAAACGTAATTCCTATATTACAGGCTCCCTATCCATACAGGAGCAGGCCTTCTTTACTCAGACGCGGACTCGTTGCTCATCTACTAATTGGTCATGTGCACTGTTTAATTGCTATTAATTTTCTCTTTGTTTCTCATTCACTCCCTCTCTGTCCTCATCTCACCTATATCTTGACTCCCTAATTATTTTCTCGACTTATGGTCTTCTACACACTGGACATTGTCCCCACACCATAGACCCTCGTTAGCCAGGTGGAGGGTGACACTTCCTTCACATCACATCACTCATGGTGGAACCCGTAATACATAATTAACCACTTGCCTACCAGGCACTTGTACCCCCTTATTTACCAGGCCAATTTTCAGCTTTCAGCGCTGCCGCACTTTGACAATTGCGCGGTCATGCAACATTGTACCCATATGAAATTTTGATCATTTTTTTTCTCACAAATAGAGCTTTCTTTTGGTGGTATTTAATCGCCACTGGGCGCTTTACTTTTTGCGCTATAAATAAAAAAAGTGCAAAAAATTTGAAAAAAAAAAAAAAAGTTTCTTTGTTTCTATTATAAAATTTTTCAAACAGGTAATTTTTCTCCTTCACTGATGGGCACTTATAGGCGGCACTGATGGGCAGCACTAAAGGGCACTGATAGGCAGTACTAATGAGGTGGCACTGATAGGCAGCACTAATGAGGTGTCACGGATAGGCGGCACTAATATGCAGCACTGATAGGCGGCACTGATGATGGGTACTGATAGACGGCACTGACTGGCATCACTTCTGGGCACTGACTGGCGGCACTGACTGGCACAACCGCTGGGCACTGACTGGTGGCACTGACTGGCAGCACTGCTGGGCGGCACTGGTGGGTGGGCACAGGTGGGTGGCACTGGTGGGCACAGGTGGGTGGGCACAGGTGGGTGGCACTGCTGGGCACAGGTAGGTGGCACTTCTGGGCACAGGTGTGTTTACACTGCAGAGTGGCACAGGTGGGTGCACTGCTGGGCACAGGTGGGTGATCTGCTGGGCACAGGTGGGCGGAGCTAGTGGGCGCACTGCTGAGCACAGGTGGGTGGAACTTGTGGGTGGCACTGCTGGGCACCGATCATCAGGGCACTGATCATCAGTGCCCTGATGATCGGTGCCGATCCTCGCTCTGACAACTGCCGGTTCTCGGCAGTACTTTCCTCACGATCTGACAGCGTGAGGAAAGTGCAGCCGAGAACCGGCACTTGCATTTCCCTGTGATCAGCGTGTCATTGGACACCGCTGATCACGTGGTAAAAGGCCGCTGTGATTGGCCTTTTACCACATCACGTGATCAGCTGTGTCCGTAGGACAAAGCGATCATGGAGATCGCCGGGTGCGCGCCCCCTGGGGCGCGCAGGAGAGCGCGTTCTGGGAGGACGTCATATGACGTCCACTCAGAACTGGCCGGCCGCAGTGCAGCCGTCATTCGGCTATCTGCGGTCGGCAACTAGTTAATAAATTATTATTTAATTAATAATTACTACTCTCCAATTTCTCATTGCCACTTTCCAAATATGACTCACTGATCTTTATCTTCTCGCTCTTATCCTACCTCGGTCTCTTGGTCTCTTATCTCTCCATATTATATCTAAGCCTTCGAGTACAATCTTCTCTATTTCTGTCTGTTTCCTGACTCCAGAGGACATACCATCTTACCATCATTTCACAATAATCTCATCGACGCTGATTATTTCTTTTGTTCACAAATTCCCCCCTCTTCTATTTATTCCCCTTTTCTTCCTTAACCTCTTTTTACCACTACCATTTACTCCCACCACCTGATTCCTCAGATATTCTTCTTTGTACTGTATTTTGGACACAGTATTGGTGGGACACTGATGACATCTACGTACATCCCCATTATTCAACACCATTTACTGGCAAATTACATCATCGCCAGATTAAGTCCAGAATGCATAATCTCTATTGGACATTATTTTTTCCCTTCTCTGCACACAAACCTCTCGCCTTCCACTTCCTTATATTATTTTCCTCGCTATTCATCAACACAACTGATATACCTTAGTACTGTATCAATGCCTTTTCCTAACTGCTAACACCGCACTGAGGTCATGTTATGTTTATTTGCCGTAATGTTATATCCTTGACCAGAATTGATGCAACAAGGGTGTCATAACTGCATCATCATTTCCCTGTGGTTGTAATTTGTTAAAACCTAATAAATTTTCCTTAAAAAAAAAGAAAAAAACACTTTTAGGACACATTTAATCCCATGATGGCCCCCAGTTCACCCCTTCACTGCCCTGTCACCAGTGTCATTAGTACAGATTTTTTTACTGATCACTGTATTAGTGTCACCGGCAACTTCAGATAGCATTAGCCTCAGTTAGTGTCCTTCCCAGATAGCATCAGATTGCCCGTCAGTACACCAGTCATCACATTTAACCCCTTGATTGGCGGAAACACACTCACACAATAAACCTCCATAGTGCCTGAACGGATCCATATCTTTGATCAGCACTATACCACATTAGTATAGTGTCCCAAAAATGCTGCATTAGCGGGATCAGCCCTGGCACCTGCCAGTATCTGCGTTTAGCCCCTACGCTTAACACTCCCTCAAAGAAAGCTCTATCTGTGTGAAAAAAGGGTATATATTTTGTTTGGGTACAGCACTGCATGACGGCGCAATTACCAGTTGAAATAGCACAGTGCCAAATAGCAAAAAAGGTCTGGTCAGGAAGGGGGTATATACTCTGGAGGGCAAGTGGTTAATAATAATATATTGGTATTATTATTGTATTACTTTTTTAGGGGTCTTATTAATGATTATTTTTATTTATTTGCGTATTTATTTTACATTTATTTATTCATTTTTTATTATTATATTATTATTAACAATAACAGTAATAATAATAATAATAATGCATATTTTTTTTAAGTTAGGTGTTTATTATTATTATTATTATTATTATTATTATTAATAATAATCATCATAATAATTGGTTTATTATATTTTTTAAGAGTTAGGCAGTTAGGGGTTATTTATTTATTAATACCTACTATGTATTTATTAATATTTTTCTTTACTTGTGTATTTATTTTACATTTATTTATTCATTTTGTATTATTTATTATTATTATTACTCTAACCCTAACAAAAAAAATAAATAAATAATAAGAAAATAATAAGTTAAATACTAAAATTAAATAAATAAATAATAATAAATACAATACTATCCTCAACTCAAACCCTAATCCTAACTCTAACCCCTTACTCTAAAAAATGAATAATAATAATAATAATAAAAAAAGCTAAAGCTGATGGAAACTAAGAAAACAGAAAAACCTAGCAACAAATGATGCAACTGATGATATATTGGCTAATAAAAAAAGCCAAAGCTCAAAATGGCTAAAAACGCTGTATGGAAATGTGCAAAAACAAGAAAAAATGTGTGCAACAAAATGCACAAAAAATGCTGAAAAACGCTATGCTCCGATGTGAATGGAGCCTCAAAGTCACATGCTCTCTTGTACATTCAACACTTTTACTACACTTTGTTTATATCCATTTGCTAGTTCTCCATATAACAATGAGTATAAACAGGCATACCTGGTGGTTGTGTTTCCACGTTATGGCTTGTGAATTGATGAAGAGTTGCTGACCCTCTGCTGCCCATGGGGTAAAATTTCCAACATCCACATCAAGTCTATTCAGTCTATAAAATAATTTGTTTGTTATCTTGAAGTGGCTGATATGTTCCCCATTTTCATCAAAATAAGACCTGAGTTCATTTGGCTGTAATGAATATTTCATTTCTTTTATGTTCTGCTTTGACTGGATGTTAGATAAAAAACACAAAACAAGATTATTTTTTTCCCGTCCGTTTTTTTAAAGGTCCAATAAATACCATAAGATCATCAGATAATAAAGATGGGCTGTATGTTCAAGTGGAATGTTAGTTCGATTCGAACATCGGCTGTTCTTGTGTTCAGCGAACACACAAACGGCAAGGGCGTTCAGCGGGCTGTTCGCCTGCCACGCCCCACAATGCACTGCACCCTGCATTGTGATTGGCCAAAGCAATGCACCTTACCACAGGTCATCATGCATCGGGCATCGTGATTGATGTTGGATCTACTTTGGGGGACAATTTTTACATTTTTATTTTTAATAAAGGACTTGTCAAAGAATGTCTTCTGTCTTTTTTACACTAGCCTTTTTTTGGTGAATGGGTAGTGGTACCGTGTACCCCATAATCATTTGCATGGGGGGGCCGGGATCTGGTGGCCCCCTTGTTGAAGGGGGCTTCCAGATTCCAATAAGCCCCCCACCCAAAGACCTCACAATCACCGGCCACAGTTGTGGGGTTGAGGCCTTTGTCCCCATCAATATGGGGGCAAGGTGCTTTTGGGGGAGTCCCCCTGCCCCAAAGCACCCCCCATGTTGAGGGCATGTGGCCTGGTATGATTCAGGAGAGGGGGTGCTTGCTCATCCCCACCTTTCCTGACCTGCCGGGCTGCATGCTCAGATAAGGGTCTGGTATGGACAAGGTGCTTTGGGGGGAGTCCCCTGCCCCAAAGCACCCCCCACATGTTGAGGGCATGTGGCCTGGTATGATTCAGGAGGGGGGTGCTCGCTCGTCCCCCCCGTTTCTGACCTGTCATGCTGCATGCTCGGATAAGGGTCTGTAATGGATTTTGGGGGGGACCCCATGCCTTTTTTTTTTTACATTTTGGTGTGGAGGTTTCCCTCAAAATCCATACCAGACCCGAAGGGCTTGATATGGATAGGGGGAGCCCACACATTTCTTTTTTTAATCTTTCATTTTCCGGGCAATGCCGGCAATTTGTTTTACATTCAGCTGTCAGCGGGGAACCCAACGGACAGCTGAAACAATAAGGAATATGTTTAGTAGCTGTGCGGGATCTTTCTGCATACTCATGTGTTAAGATACTGCTTAGTGAATTGTCCCCTCTGTTCGAAGCTCGTGGTCAAACTTTCGTTGTGTTGGAATGTTCGACCACAAACTGAACGGGGGGGGGGGGTTCGGCCCATCACTATCAAAGAATATGCTCACTTTATGGAAATAAAAGTTCAGAGGGGCAGTACAGTGACCTAATGGTGACCATTTATGCCTTGCAGCACTGGGGTCCTTGGTTCAAATCCTGACTTTGTGCAGTATTGAGCACTGCTTGTGTGGGTTTCATCAGGGGACTCTTGTTTCCACCCACATTCAGGGCGTCCAAGTAAACTATTTGGCTCCTGTCTAAATTGTCCCTCATACCTGTGTGGGTCAAATACAAAATCCCAACTCCCACCTTCTATACAGACCTTGTCAGTCTAGTGTGTAATGAAGCTGCGGAACGTATTTCAAACATGGAACTTATTTCAAACATCGACTCGGCCGATGATTGATCGAACTAACATGTAGCCCATCTTTATTTAGTTGCATCAAAGATCAGAATACAGTGGTGGGAATGGAATGGGAAAATCCATGGCAATCATTAACTTTAGCCAATTTCATGATATCAAAAAATGTTATTTCCTTCATTTCCTATACACTTTTATTGGTATTCAGATAAGTATACAGTGGCTTCATCTTGTGCAAGAAATGAAGTGAACATTCTGTATTCCTTGAATACATCGGTTCCCAAACTATGACCCACTGGTTGCCCGAAACCAACCGCTGCAATGAAAAGGCCTCACATGCAGGACTTTCTTATGGCAAAATGGAGGAAGGGAGGCATTAAGTGGCAGTGGGTGCTGGGCAGAGTATTCCTGAACCCAACAAGAAACATTTTGTAGCAAAAGGACTTTAGAAGGGCAAACAGGTAGTGAGAGAAGCCAACAAAAAGAAAATATAGCATAAAGTTCCAAGTTTATTGTACAAAATGTATAAAAGGACATAATAGTGACCACATCCATGTAATATACCCAGATATAAGTCACATCTGTACTACA